ACAATATGTCCGATCGAGGAGCCTCAACGCCTCGCGTGTTCTGTATACGACATGGTAAGCATTAAGTAATTGGCGCTCAGTACTTTGCCTGACTTATCTGGGATCTAGGAGAGACGGAATGGTCCCGAGAAGGCCGCTTCACCGGGGTTACAGAAATTGATCTGACCGCGCGGGGAGCACAGCAGGCTTCCGATGTTGGAGAACTTTTGTTCGGCAGAGGCAAACTCGTTGACCCAGCTCGCCTAGCGAACGTCATTGTCAGCCCGAGGAAGAGAGCGAAACATACTCTCGAAAAGCTTCTACCATTGCCGCTGAAGACGTCGTCAGATGATGTCAATTTGGAGGCGAAAATCGTCACCGACAAAAACGTCGCGGAGTGGGATTATGGCAAGTATGAAGGTAAGACAGACAAACAAATCAGATGTCAAAGGCAGCAACAAGGATTAGACAAGGAAGACGCATGGAATATCTGGCGCGATGGATGCGAGGGCGGAGAGTAGGTCATGAACACAGACACAATGACCTCCTTGTTGCAGCTAATACCTCGATGGTCTTTAGGTCAAAGAAAGACGTTACTGAGCGGTTACTTCGACTCATTGTTCAGATTCGCAAGATTCAAGAGCCTCGCATGAAGGGCGATGGGCCCGGCGATGTGCTCGTTGTGCGTTCCCCATTCCGTGGAGGGCGCGTTGGCCATTCGACACTCCCTCATTGTTGCAGTGGCTAACACTGGGGGCACTACAGGTTTCCCACGGTCTCATCCTCCGATGCTTTTGGAAGCTTTGGAACGGCTTTGAGATTGATCACAATATCTCTATCGATATAGAAACAACGGGGATGTTTGTTCTAGGGTTTGTGAACATTGGATGCGACACTGTCTCGGTACTGTAACACTAATTCTGGCCAATAGTTACAAGGGTAATGACATCAATAAGCGAAGTTTCTACCTCGGCGTATCTCTGCCGCTTGCGGAGCATGATGGAGAGAGAGAGTCTCAGAAAAAACCAAGGGCAATTGCTTCTGAAACCCCATCTTAGTCGGCTCTCAAGACTCTGACCAGCCGCTCAGTCGAGGCAGGCGATATGCGATAGAAGACCTCTGTTATGCCGGAGAGTAGTGTATTGGAAAGTCCGAGATACCCCAAAACTATCCCGGCACGCTTTAGCTTCACCCTGAAGAGCTGAGTACAAGGTCGGGCCGATCCTTCATCTGCGCCGCCCGGAAAATGGTACACTATAATCTCCATGTCTACGTAGAAGATCTTCTGTCGCTGGCCGCAATTAGTAATCCATCAAATGCTGCATGTAGCTCTGAACTGTAATCCTCCCGCTGTTCCAAAAAGTCTCGAATCGAGTCATCATAGTCGTGATAGAAAACTTGCAAAAATTGGCTAGACGTGGCGAGGATCGACATGGCTTTTTCGTCCGCATGTTGGGCGATGACAGGCAGCAGCTCGAGCTCCCTCAGGCAATCACCATCGAATTTCTTTATGAAAATACGCAGAATTTCGTGCTTGTTGCGGATTATCGCCGTATGCAGTGCCGCTCGACCTTCCGGATTGCGTGTGTTGATTGTGGCGCCATGTTCCAGGAGTAAATCGACCATCTCTGTCAAACCGCCG